GGCAATACCTCCTGTTGGCACCCCGCAGCACGGCGGCTATGGCAGCCTCTCCTCCAACCTGCAGACCTCCACTCTCCACCTCAGCCCCTCCACCGGCAGCACCGCCCTTCTCCAGCAACAGGCAGCAGCCAGCCAGCATTCACTCAAGTGAATGCCCCAGCAGCACTGCCACAAGTGTGATGCTGCTGGGTGGAGTGCTGACTTTTATAGCCAGTCGAAGGCATGTGGGCAGCTGCTTTGCCCACAGCCAGGCAAAAATTCGTCAGAGCTCCTGACCCTTAATCTAAATGAACGGCCAGGGGCTCAGTGCCTTGGTTTCCCCTTTGGGGAGCCAGGGTCATCAGTTCCCAAGAGCACCTGGCCGCTTCCCAGGCCAGGTGCCACTCGAAATGGTTGTACGCAGCCATTTCAGGACTGGCTGTTCAACTGAATAGGCACTGTCCCATCAGCCCCTATAACCTTCTAGGGGCTGGACCTAGTCCACGACCACGGCCACGTACGTGGCCGTTACCTTTTTTTTTCTTATCTTTTCTTTCTCTTTCTTTTTACCCCTCCTGCCCCCTCGTTTCTCTGTGCAGGGAGCAACACGCCGCCCCCTAAGTCATTTCACAGAGCCGAACCAGAGTCAAGCTCAGCAGGGTCTTCTCCCCCTGCTCCCATATGCTACTCACGCCTGTATCCGGCACACCTTAAGTATCGGATACAGGTGTTGAACATCAGACTGCTGCCCGTTGCTAAACGAACGGGCGCAGCCTTTAATGCTGGAGCCAACAAGGTGGGGGGGAATAATAAATAAAAGAAGAAATAAAATATAGGAAAACAAAGAAACTTAAAATCTTGTGCAAAAAAAACGGCTGCCCGTTGTCACGGGCGCAGGTCATACATGATGGGGACCAGCAGTCCCCATCACCTCTCATGAGCGCGCCCGTACCTAGGGGCCTTCGACGCCAGGTACAGGCGCTTCATGCCCTCCTGCCTGTTTCATAGCAGGGCTCGGCGCGAGGTGGGATCCCCTCTCTCTCTCTCTCTCTCTCTCTCTCTCTCTCTCTCTCTCTTCGTGAAACCCCGACAGTCGCGACCGTTTATCGCGACTGAAAACTACTCAAAGCGTGTGGAGAGAGTCCCTCGTAACTCGAGTACAAGGTCCCAAAACCCATGCCCGGATGTAGCCGCGTACCGCGGCAGATACATCCGATTTTGCCCATCCTACCGATGGGAAGGCAACTCGTTCGTTGAAACGAACGGGTGCCTTAGGGAACTCACGAACAGAAATGGGGGGGGAGGGAAACAAAAGAATCTAAAAACAAAATTAAAATAAGAAAATATGAAGTGAATCTAAAAGAAGAAATCTAAAGAAAATTTAAAAACAAAAAGACTGAAAAGAAAAAAACAAAAACTTACCCTGCAGCAGAGAAAAACGGTCGCCCGTTTTCACAGGCGACTGTCCAATACACTGGGGCTTGAAATGCCCCAAACACTTCTCATAGCGCCACATGGCGCCTCCTATTTTAGTTCGTTTTTGTTTTGTTTTGCTTTGTTTTTGTTTTTGTTGGATGTTTTTTTTTTTTTTTTTTTTTTTTTTTTTTTTTTTTTTTTTTCCTCCTAACTATGCCCGTTGGCTTATGCCAACGGTCACATCGTGGCTGAAAGCCACGGTTCTGTCATGCAGCCCCAAGCTCAAATCCCGTGTGGGATTCGACGAGATTTTTCCAAACCCTTTTTTTTTTTTTTTTTTTTCCGACCATTTCGCGATTTATGCGTGTCATCCTTGCGCAAGGGCCAGACTAATCTGCGCGCGGCTGTTTTCAGCCGTGTGATCTCATCGATCGCACGACCGAAAATGCCGCGCCAGATTGTTGGGCTGCTCCTAAAGGAGCGAGCCCGGAGGTGCGGCATATTGGATTCGATCCCAGACACTATCAGGTGAGAGTTCAGTACCGTAACCTACCGGGCTAGCTCCTATCACGACAGTGATAGGAGCTGCTCTTTTATAAGAAAAGCTTGCCCAACCGTTATCCCCTATGCCTCATGCCGGGGCTTTGCAGGTCCCGCCTGCTTGTGGCATTACAGGCCCTGCCCGCCTGCCCGCCTGCCCGCGACCTTGCAGGCCTTGCCGGCAGGCCTTACCCCGTTGGTAGGACGCGTGGCATTGGCATGTCAGCCCCCTGGCTTGATGCCAACTTCTGCGGCCGAGAAAAAAAACTCCCCATTCCTAAGCCGCGCGACATTATTTAGATGGAATAGGTATAGTTTTACCGTTCCCATGTCCGCACATACCTGCGGCTTCGACAAAACAGAGCATCACCTTTCACATCCGTTACTCCTGGACGCCATACGCGTTCGGACTAACGTTCGAACTTTTAATCTGTCAGTCATAGGTCAGGTCTGAATAAACTTTTGGCAAACATCGTCTCATCAAGTCCTTCAATTCAACACAGAAGTCGGACGACGTCCGACGTTGAAAAACCCCGGTAAATACCCTTGTCAGGGTATTTGCCCCAACAGCGTGTGCTCGACGTGCACATGGGATACCCAGGTAGCTGCCACGACATCACGGCGCCTCAGCTGTCCAGCCCGTCGCAGCGCGTGGAGGAGGGGTCGTTGTTTCGTGGTCCCCCCGTGGCACTGCCATTCGGTGTGAAGACGAACGGGTACGTCCTGTCGGACAATGACTACCCCCTTTCGGAATGGATGGTCGTCCCGTATGGAGGCATCAATCAGCACGTCGACGAGGAGCGGTTTGACAACAAGCAGAAGGTGGCGAGGGGAGTAGTGGAGAGGGCGTTCGGCAGGCTGAAGGGCATGTGGCGGCTGTTTCTGCGGACACACAAGACAAACCTGGACATGCTTCCGCAACAGTTCACCACCGTCTGTATATTCCACAACATATTGATCGACGCAGGAATCCCCTTCGGCGAGAATCTGCTATGGGAGGTCGATGCTAATGGTGTGCGACGTCGTGTGGACCTGGGGATGGAGGAGCCCCTTCAGCCTGTGTCGATGATGACGTCGACGACGGAAGCGTTGGCCCTGAGGCATGCTTTGGCGGACCAGCCGTGTTGCGCGGACGCGGCAAAGACGGCGTGGAGGGCAGCCCACCCTGAAGTGACCTTTCTTCAGTCGAGCCACGTATCTTGAGTGTTGTCATCGTGGCGCCTTGTGCGACATTGTGTTGCCGCCAACTTTCCAACGGTTCGTCGTCCTCACCGCCGACGTCGACGACAACCTCCTTCGCCTTCGGGGTTTCATGGCCACACGCTTGCTGCGCCTCCGGAGGGGGCGTCAGCAATCTCCTTGCAGCGCTCTGATCAGACGGCCGTTGAAGATTGCTTCCCTTAGGGGCCGACACGGTGGTCTCTACTGCTTCTTCCTCCGTCGTGAACACGTCTTCGTCGTCGTCTTCGTCAGGTGTCGCCCAAGTCCGTCCTCGTCGAAGAGGCACGCTTCCTGATGCTTCTCCTTAACGAAGCCTCTTTGCCTTGGCGACATGCCGCCGACCCCTTTCCCGCCCCTGAGTGTCTGCCTGGACGATTTCTCGCTTCTTGCCACGGGCGCCGGCTCGCGCAGACATGGTTCCTGCTTCCCTCTGTGGATCGCTCGTGTCTACGCCTGCGTTCGCGAAGACGAGGAACAAGCGCTTTTGTCGCATAGAGGAGCAAGGCGTCCAGGTGCGCCAAAGTCGTTGGGCGGCATAGGCGAGACAACTCTGCAGCGGAAAGAAGACAACGCAGACGACGATGAATCGACACGTGGCGAGAGAGATCCGCGACGACAAAGAGATAGTGCCCCGCCAATGGTAGTTCTGCTAACAGGCCGCGAACTGCGCCGTGCGAATGGATTGGTATACCTCAATCGGCCGCGTTCACACCGACGATGAAGAACCGCCCTCGCCACACACAGCAGCGCGACGTCGACGTTCGCGCCAGAAGGACATAAACTCTGCCCACACTGCTCCGCGGAGAGCGCTTTACATGGCGCGGAATGTCGACGTCACGAGATGGCGAGACGATCAACAGCGATGATCGTCGACGACACTGAAGAAGTCCCAGACGAGGAGGACTGAGAAAAAACGGCGAGCACGCGATCACGGTGCGGCGCGACGAGGACAAAAGCCACAAGGCGTCCCGTGTGGTTGTGATCGGTGTGCAGCATGTGCGGCGCCCTTCAGTGTTGGAGAAGCCGCAAACAGACGACCTTTATGCGGGAGGGGGCGCAAACACATCGACAAGATGGAGAAGACGGACGGGCCCCTGCGTCGCTTGTTCGCCTTTCGTCGTCGTCGATAACGACACGTGTGACAGCAACTCTCCAGACCTCCTTCGCTCACCCGCCCTTCATCTGTTGCCACGCCTACCTTCCCCGAGGCGCCAACAGACCCTTCAACGCCTTTGCGGCTGCGCGTCCACACTCTTTTGGGGCCGAAATTAAATTATTCAAAAAAACAAAAGCATACCTCCCCAACCCCCATT